CTGCCTCCTGTTACCATCCGCCTTAGACGCACAGTTCGGGACCCCCTACCCGAGATCCGCCGGTTTTGACACCGAAACCCCCCGTGGTGAAGTTCTTGCTCTCAGTATTTTTTATATATTTGGAAAACATCTTCCGTGAAGTTTCAGGACTTTTGGAGCTGTGCGGAATAGGTCTCTAATATTTGCTCCTTTTCCAGCCCAGAATCCCAGCTGCCGACATTCTCCCTCTTTATGGAAACCTTGCAAAATAAGAGAGAATAGGCATAAGTATTGTGACATAATGTGTAATAACAGCTCATAATGCAATAAATATTGATATAAAAGCATGATGCAAAATGGACGTATCACACCCTGCGGGACAATTCTTTCATATCCAGTGCTTGCAGTCAGTTGATCCAAGCATACCAGGCCATCCTCGTTCTCCACTCAATGCCAACAGCCTCTCCGCGTCTTCATCATTGGGTGCCCTCAAGTACTCCAGCCCAAAGATATTAATCATGCCTTTTGTGTACCTTCAAACGACCTCCAAGATTGGATCTTATCCAATGCAGACATAGTTGTCAGTGGCGTCGGCTGGACACCCATAAGACAACCCTCAAATAGGCGTGATACATTTCATCTAAGGGCTCACACTTGTCTCTCAGGATGCACTCCTCCGGAGTTTGAACCTACTTCTCCACGACTTTTGCAATGGTGAGAAAGAGACTTGTGTCCATCTGAAATCGCCAGAAATAGTTCTCCGGATAGGTTGGATTGGGGTCGAAATGATCTCTCATAATCTTGGCATGGCCCTACGCTCTATCTCGGTTGATGTGTATGCGGTCAAGTTGTGATCCTTTCCTTGGCCGCCGAAAATCATCATTGAAGATCATGCCAACGACCATTTTGAAGTCATCATCGTTTTCTTCCTCCGCCTCCTTCGACGACGACGACAAAGAGTCCTCGAAGATCATCTCTTTCAACCTCTTCATCTGGAGTAAAAAGGACTCCATTTAATATAAAAAATGAGATGAAAGAAGCACACGAAAAAAATCACCTTGGCAAACCGTCGAACACTTGAAGGGCGGCGGAGGCGTCACGGTCCGCTAGCCACGTTGATCATATATTAGGGATGGGCGAGGCTTTGAGATGGCCGGAAGTGGACAGAGATGCTCAGAGGAAGAAGATCCGAGCCTCTTTTTGGCGACGGCAATGATGCGGCGGCAACGTTTGAGCTCGACTTCGACGACGGCAACGGCCAACAACCTGCAGAAAGTCGAGCAGCGGTGAGGGCGAAGGTTGACAGTGAGGCGTCGACGGAGGTGGTGGCTAGTCACCGGAAGTAACGCTGGCGATGACACAACGTGGAGTGGCCAATTTTTTTACTCAGCGGCTGGGTGGCTGAATATATTTAGGGGTAGAGGCGGATAAATTTTTCCTCCTGTAAAAACGATAGAAGGGTAACCGAATTTATCCTCATCTAACGGCGGATAGAGATCGGTTAGAGTTGCCACGAGCAGTTCAAACATATACTCCCTCCATTTCAAAATATAGTGCGCCCGCGCTTCCCAAGGTCCAACTTTGACCATAAATTTAACCAACGAGACCGACTGCGGCGGGAGAAAAAAATGTATAATTGAAAACTTCTTTCGAATACGAATTCACTGATATAACTTTTGCTCTCGCCGCAATCGATCTTGATAGTTAAATTTACGGTCAAAGTTGAAGCACGAGGATAGAAGAAGCACTACATTGTGGAATGGAGGGAGTAAATGCAAAGTGGCACTACACTACACAGCTTATAGTTGATTAATCAAAAGCAGCAGTAGATTTGTTAACTCTCACGGCCTGACGTAAGCTATGACGCCGCTCGTGAGTGAGACCAGTTTTGAGCAATTTCCTTGAACATTCAGTCAGGTAAACAATAGGCAGAGCACATTCAGTTTTGAGTTTTTATACCCTATAAATAGTGCAGCCCCTCCAGGATCGATCACGTCGGAGAACGAGCTCGGCCATCTCAGTCCAGCCCTGTAGCCAGCCAGCCGGCAAGCAGGGAGCGCAATGCCGCCGCCGTCGCCCGTGTGCGTGGTGTCGTCGCGCACGGTGAAGCCGCCGGCTCGGCCGCGGGAGCGCATCCCGCTCGCCACATGGGACGTCTCCATGATAAACGCCAACTACATCCAGAAGGGCCTCCTGTTCCCCGCTCCCCCGCCGCCCTTCTCCACCGGCGCCGCCGTCACCAGCCACCTCGCCGACGCCCTCGCCGAAGCCCTCGGGGGCGACTACTACCCTGTCGCCGGACGCTTCGTCACCGACCGCCACCGCGATGACAGCGGGGCCGTTGTTGGGTGCTCGGTCTCTATTGACTGTGACGGCCAGGGCGTCGAGGTCGTCCACGCCGTCGCAGACGGCGTCGCGGCGGCCGACGTTGTCCCTCCCGACGCCGACGTTCCGAGTGTCGTCGAGGACCTTTTCACGCTCAACGACGCAATCAACTACGACGGCCACGAGCTCCCCCTCTTCGCCGCCCAGGTCACCGAGCTCGCGGACGGCGGCGTCTTCGTCGGCTTCGTCTGCAACCATGCGCTCGCCGACGGCACGGCCTTCTGGAACTTCCTCAAAGCGCTGGCCGAGATATCGCGCGCCAGGCTCGCGCCTCCGGGGGATCCGCAGTTGCCGACGTCGTCGCCCCGGCCCATGTTCGAGCGCTGGTCGCCCGACGGCGGCACGGCAGCGCCGGTCGTGCTGCCGTGCAAGGACCTGCCGGAGCTCATCGAGAGACCGGCGCGGGTGCCGCTCCGCGGGCGCGTGCTGCACTTCACGGCGGAGTCGATGGCGGCGCTCAAGGAACAGGCCCGCGAAGAGCTCCTAGCTGCCGGGGACGCGGCGGGCGCGGCCGCCCTGACGCGGTACCAGGGCCTGACCTCGCTCATTTGGCGGTGCATCACCCGCGCCCGGCGGCTGGCCCCGGACGACGAGACGGCGTTCCGCGGGGCTGCCAACAACCGCGGGCGGCTCCGGCCGGCGCTGCCGGCGGAGTACTTCGGCAACAGCCTCTACGCCGTCAGCACGGAGCCCGTGCGCGTGTCGGAGCTGCTGGCGCGCGGCGGGCACGGGCGGGGGGCGGCGGCCGTGGGCCGCGCGGTGGCGGCGAACACGGACGCGTCCATCCGGGCGCGCGTGGCCGCGTGGACGGCGGAGCCCGTGGTGACGGTGCGGCTGACGATGATGGGGGGCTCGCCGTGGTTCGACGCGTACGGGTGCGACTTCGGGTGGGGGAAGCCGACGGCGGTGCGGAGCGGGAGGGCGAACAAGAACGACGGGAGGACGGTGCTGTACCCCGGGCGGGAGGGCGGAGGCAGCGTGGACGCCGAGGTGTCGCTGTCACCCGAGCACATGGCGGCGCTCGAGCTGGACGACGAGCTCCGGGCCGCCGTGTCATCGTCACGTGCCAATTTTGTTTCGTTGTAAAACATGAGTGGTATTTTCTGGTGAGATAAATAAACTGTCAAACTTAAAGTATTCACAAAAGTTAAGCTAAATTTCGGTTATGACTGATGGGCAGAGCATGTCGTATACTACGAAACTTACCCTGAATTACGTGCTGAATTTAGAGAGAGAGAGAGAGAGAGAGAATGAGGTATGTCACAGAGGCATTAGCAATGATCTGTCATGACCGAATAGTACCGTCACTCTCACTTTTGGTTGGTCATTAGCGACGGCTACATTGTTCACCCGCCATCGATTAATTATCATTAGTGATATAGTGATGGTTTACAGGTTACATTCTTCACATGCCACCAATAACTGTCATGTTTAAGGTAATGGAATCAAAGTTTTCTCACAATAGTTATATGTAAGTCATCTGAATTTAGAATTTGGGTCAATCGATTTTCATGTGAAGGAAGGAACAACCGGAGGGAAGGAAGATCGCCATTATATGTAAGTCGCCCGAATTTAGAATCTGGGTCAATCGATTTTCTCGCGAACGAAGGAACAACCGGAGGAGGGGAAGGAGATAGCCGAAGAAGCCCTCTGGATCTATCTTAGGATGGCAGGCGACCTCGTTATCTATCTTGGGGTGTGGGTGGGTGGGGGAGGGAGGTGTGCAGGTTCACCGGATAAGAAACCGATCATCGCCGGGATTAGAAGGATGACCGGGGCAGCGGCAACACAATGATTGAGGGGAGGGCGGAGTGGCAAGGCTGTCACCGAAGCACCACCAGCAGTGGGCGGCGTAGACAGGTGATTCGGCCGGCGGTTGTGGGCGGTTCAGATCAAGGTCGGGAGGAGGAAGACGATGAACAATGATTTCCGGAGATAGAAGTTATGTCAGGTTGCTTTTCCATTCAACGGCTGGGAACAACTGACCCAGATTCTAAATTCAGTCAATTGCCCCGAGCCATCCCCATGTTTTTTTTTTTTTGCACAACGGTCAATTGCAAAACCAAAACCGAGGAAGCTCCTTGACCAGGAACACATGAATCCAACCGGATGTGTGCAACGAGGACCAGCAAATAAAGCCAATAGAACCGAGACACAACACTCAGCTATAACATATACTACTCCCTTCGTTCACAAATATAAGATGTCTTGGATATATTTCAATATAGACTACACACAGAGTGAAATGGGCGAACAAACACACTAAAACGTGTCTATATACATTCCATTTAAAAAAAAGAGTTGCTCATAGAACATCTTATATTTGTGAACGGAGGGAGTACCTCTGTAAACAAATATAAGATCTTTTAGTAGTGATCTAAAATCTGGTTCTGACCCTCCCAGCAAATTCATAACGTTCATATGTTTTTTCTTCCCCAGAACTCTACATGACAAAACCTACCCAAAATCTGGTTCCGACCCTCCCAGGCTAACAATCTCAACAACTAAATCTTGAGTTGAACATGATCGCCTACATGGATATAGAGCCATCAATCCTTCCTCCAAAAATGCCATACGCAGGTCTGAGAAACAATCTGTCCCCAATCAATAAACCTTGGCTAAACTCCAGTTTCCATTTAGCTGGTGGAGTCAGTTTGATTAGTAGCTTCCGCTTCCACATCCTCTTTATTCTGGAACTGACTTTCAAGAACATCATTTACATTGTCGGGTGGGCACCGGTCAGCTTGATTCCCAGCTTTCATCTGGCAGAAGCACTCTGGCCATGAGTTTGTGTAGAAAGACTCTGGATGGATGCGCTTGTGGGGGGCGCCAAAATGGGTGTTGAACATGACCTGCCTGATCCTCTCCTCATATCCAGATGCACGCCCTTCCTCCATGTCCATGAATATCGGAGCAAGGGCCTTCCTGTTTGGCGTGATTGTGGTTCGGAAACCATAGTATAGGCGATGACCCATGAGGTTGTTTGCGAAGTTGCTCGGGCCATCATACGTGGGCATAAAAATGTCCGACAGGAGACAGACCATGTAGTCAACTGCTGACCTTGCTAGCCCTCGGTTATCCTCTTCCAGCTTTCCACTTCCAATCATACTATTGTTTTCTAGACGTGGAAACATAGCCTTGAATGGCTTCATGAAGCGTTCCCCACCAAAGAGCTTGCCAGAAGCAAGGTAAATCCGTGTTGTGTTATTAAATCCCATAGCACGAATGATAAGACCTACCTGCAAAACAATATAAATAGACCATTTTCCCCGTTATTTATGGAAAGAATTATTCAACAGAATAGTAGGTTATGATGACTATGATATTTATTTTTCATATACTGTCGTCCCACATTTTTGTGCTTTAAATATACTACCTCAGTCCTGAATTATTTGACGCCCAAACGGATGTATCTAGCACTTAGTGCTAGATAAATCCATAGTGTCAAGTAATTGCAGATGGAGGGAGTATAATATTTGAAGGAACAAGGTCTATTGTGGACCTCAAATTAACCACTGCCATGTGTGGGCCAAAAATGTACGGCTTATTCTGAGGGCCAAGTTCTCTGGTGCTCTAGTTTTGTGGTTCAAGAGGACCAAAAAGGTAGGCATGCATAAACTCCCATATTTAATATTTTATATAAGTTTCATAGTTGCTCCTAATAATCATTTTTCTTACCAATCAAAATGATTCATTTAATGGGTGCATCTAGGGTCAAAACACCCTAAAAGTGAAGTTTGGAAGCTCCATTAGAAAAGCATATTTAGCAGCTTACAAAATTTGAACTTTGGCACATCCATACTTAGATTGATATATATTAGTGTCAATTTCAAACGCAATCTGGATTAATGTATACAAAAATGAAAAATCCAGATTGAGTTTGAACTTGACACAACAAACATCAAGAAAAATGTCTATAAGAAGAATCGGTACCTCTTCTGGAGTTAAAGGGCACTTTCCAATGAGCCTTCTTTTCTTGTAGACAAGGGTCTTATTTGCAAAATTTTCTTCCCGATACTTCAACAGGATTTCCTGTTCTTTAGGTGTGAATATGTCAATGCATCTGCAGTTTTCATTTTGGAAGTAAGGAATGTTCATATGTCAACACAAAAACGAAATTACATGGCAAGACATGCAATTAATAACCACTGCATATACCAGATTTTCATGTATAGGTTATCAACAATAGTCAAAATTAATGAATTAAATAAGAGAATACTTCTCTAAAATTTTAGTATCAAGGACTGAAAATGGCTATTGCTACTTTATCTTAATATAATTTTATATCTATGAATGAATGAATGTTATGAGTTCCATCATCCATGTAAGGGCCATGCTTAGCCCTCGTCAAGACCTTCCTTAGCCTACAATAACGACATGCCTTTTAGTCCCAAAAGAGGTGGGTAGGCACTTTCCTAAGCCTACCACAGAAAAAAAAAACTCCATCAATGGATACACTTCAGAATAAAGCAATAACACGCTGGTTTGATCAAAGTCCTACCCGGCATATGCAAGCATATCCAGCTCAAACCGAAGATGAATCGACATGAAATGGCCTTCTGAACGGAGCTTATTCACTATATCACTGCTTGTTTTCATGATATTTGGCTTAAACTGTAGTGCGTGATAATTCACCCTGCATCTCAATCTCTGGAGCTCTGGGTCATCAATTTCTTCTGCCAAACGGTGTGAAAATGGAGTTAAATATATCGCACCATACTTCCTCAACTTCTCCAGAGCAGTTGTCCTGTACCAAGTAACTGGTGCGTCTCTAGGTGGTTCAATCTGTAAGGACAAAAAGTGTTCCATAAGTACAGAATATCTAGAAAATTTTGACTTTGGAAAGATAGAAAAGGTGACTTTAGTATAGCTAAATTTGGAGTGCTACTGTGCTCTAAATATATTCACCTTATAAGCTCTGAGCTTCTTGGACTTTCCATGTGCAGTGATTTTTGGAATACTCATAACAATTCGAACATCATATTTCAATGTCTTGATGAAGTGGGGAACATCATACATATCTACAAAACCACTGGTCCATACATAAATACAACAACAATGGATCATTCAACGCAAACCAGTTGAACAAGAAGGTAACTACAAAGCCAGAGAGGAGTGAACTCAATGTAGACGTCATTCTAATTACCAAGTGCAACATGCAGTGGCCACCTTATTATTTGAAAATCATATTAACACTTAGTTTTGGGTTTGTCCAACTAATTTTTCAACATAACTTCTAACATCTTCATGATGGCATTACACAAAAATGCAAATAAGGATTTCAATGCGAGTCAATAATATCCGCATTGTTACAATCTTTAACAGAAAAGTTTTGGTTTTGCAACTTAGCTCGCAAATCTTTATCTAGTATACTATGAACAAACTTTCAGGCAGGATGCTGAAAAGGTTACAAACTGTAATGTACTACATAAGGGTTTGTAGACTAACTGTAAAAGTTCCTCCTGGAGTCCTATTAGAATGAACTCATCTTAAGATTCTTAACTGGAAAAGTTCCTCCTAGAGTCCTTCTGCAAGAAACTAATCTTCCCATGCAAATTCTAACACTGTAAATTTTTAATAAATTAATTTATATAGACACCTATTCAGCATTCTAGACGTATGCTATTTTCCAATAACCTGATTAGCAGTTACGAAGTGCTAAATATCTACTATCACCAGGACTCAAATACTTCTACGAAGTTAATCAACATGACTACATAAAACACTTGGATTATGCCAATATCTCATGGTAATATCATGTACATTAGGCATAAAAAGCACTACGAAACTATATAAATCAATTAATGCAAACTGCAGAATATTTGATAAGAAAAGTTCTGCAGTGAACTTTGGGGTGGGCACTGCTTTTGCTTTGTAGCAAGAAAAAATACTGCTCAAACAGAAGGAATCATAAGGAACACAGGGTTTGTGGTAACTGCATGCAATGATCTTCCTGCATGATAAAAATTTACTTACGTACCTCTCATCATGCCAGAATGAATTTGCATCTAACTCTGGCAGCACTAGTGTAGCATTCATGATTCGTGCTGCAACAACAGCATTACATATCTGCAAAAGCAAAGCAGCAGTAACCTTAAATCTCTCAGCTATGTTGCCATGAACACATAAAACTTGCATGATGAACTATGCTACTTTAGAGACAAAGTTTCATATGTTAATCATACTGCACTTCGTTGTTGGGACAAGCCACCATTGCACCGGACACGTAAGTACCCATTGCTCTCGGATTCAGTTGGTGGGGCTGCAAGTAGAGAAATTGCATTTCAGAATTTCATTTTGCCATCACACAGAATGGCATAAGAGAAGGGGAGCCTTGGCGCAGTGGTAAAGCTGCTGCCTTGTGACCATGAGGTCACGGGTTCAAGTCCTGGAAACAGCCTCTTGCAGAAATGTAGGGAAAGGCTGCGTACAATAGACCCAAAGTGGTCGGACCCTTCCCCAGACCCTGCACAAGCGGGAGCTACATGCACTGGGGCTGCCCTTTTTACAGAATGGCATAAGACTGGACCAGTAACTTCTGGTTCTGGGAGGATACAGAGAGAAACTCACGAGGCCAATAGGTGCGTGGTGCAGAAGATGCTCTCCAACCATTTGAATCTGCAGTTCTCCACAACTCATCTACAACAAAATCCTTGAGTAGTAGCACTGATGTCAGTACAAGATATAATTTGGTAAAAAATTAAATGACCATTGTATATCCAATTCAATTCCATACATTTAGCATAAACCAGTCTATAGGTCAAATGAATTGAAACTGAAAATATAAGTGATGCACCAAAAAATTTATCTAAGAAAATTGGTGCATTTCTTTTTCGGAGTAACATTATTCCTTATCCATCAAATATTATGTGCCAGAACATGATGGATAGGACCATACTTTGTGCTGACTTAATTTTAATATTTATTTATCAATTTTCTTACTCTAGTCTTTTTCATTAGGATTAATAAGCAGTGGTGATGCATCACTTCCCTAACAGCCCACAGCTGGCAAAACTTGAGGTTATGAAACATCATGTGTCAGCTGTCAGTTTTATAAATGTCCTTATATTTATGTAGTAATCTGGTGGCCAGCATGATTTCAATGTTTACAGGCCTACTCCCTCCCACAATATAAGATGTTTTTGCAAGCTGTTTTTGCTTGCAAAAACAGCTTATATTGTGATACGGAGTGAGTACTATAATGCAGTAAACTGATTGTTTACATTTCTCAATTTTCCATAGGAACATTAAGCTACATCCTTGGGTGCTGATTAAGCAAACTAATAGTTATGGAGAAGTTGGATCTTACACAATTTTGGAAACAACTATCGCAACTTGCCACAGTCTGCAGGTAATAAGCCTATCGGTAGTAATACTCTGTACCCATATTAGGTGGTTCTGCATTGAATACAGTTTACCATCTTGCTTACGACCTCTTCACCAAGGAGTATGTATTTGTTAAATATTATTATACTTGGCAATTTTTTCCATCCGTTTCAATCAGCAACATGATTTATGCTCAGGCCGGCATATATGCTAGAATTAATTTGTTTTAAAAGTTCCATTAGAGATTTGCTCTGCGAAGTGCCTTGGTTATATAGCACCGGCACCTGCATAGCCATAGCCTCTCAGCCTTCACTTTAACTCTCATGGCATTGCTATCGGCCTTCCCTACAACGCCAAGCAGAACAAACAGCACAACTAAATAATCACCTGGACCCTGTGGGTGCCGAAGAGGACAACGGAGGAGGAGGACCAGAGCCAGATGGTGCCGATAACCAGCGCCGCAACGGCGACCCACAGCCGCGCCCGTGCGCGGTGCCGGCGCAGCAACGCCTCGCTGCCGAGGCCCCTGC